GTAGATTTTCTTTTCAGGGAAACCCAGGCGTTGTGGGCGTGGCCTCACCTGCCCCAGGTGTCTTGTCCGTCACAGGTGAGTGGGCGGAGCTCATCATAGGGGAAGGCGTTGTTCAGGTAGCTGTTGTAGGCGTGGTAGAACATGGACTTGATGCGCTCCCTGCAGGTTAGAGTCAACACGGATCAGAACCGGGTCGCTTCCAGAACCGCAGGGTGTAGAGCAAACATTACAGAAGCTGCAGGGTGTAGATCTACAGCTGAAAGAAGCTGAACGCATCAAACAGGATGAAATTACAAACACTGAAATTTCTGCATGTCACAAGCTAACGGACAAATAATATGCAGGTTTACAAGATAAATTATTATTTAGTAAAAACATTTTTATTAGCAATTAAACATTTTTACACTAAATTATTTATATCTATAGCCTAGCCTGGTGTTATTAGCCCAGTTTTATGTTTTTAGCTTAGCCTGGTGTTTTAAGCTAGCTTGATGTTTTTAGCCTAGCTTGAAGTTTTTAGCCTAGCTTGAAGTTTTTAGCCTAGCCTGGTGTTTTAAGCTAGCTTGATGTTTTTAGCCTAGCTTGAAGTTTTTAGCCTAGCCTGGTGTTTTAAGCTAGCTTGATGTTTTTAGCCTAGCCTGGTGTTTTAAGCCTAGTTTGATGGTTTCATTCTGGCAGAGGAAGCTGGAGAAACCAGAGAAAACAGACCAGCAGAAAGGAGCTGGGATTCAAACCTCCGACCCTGACCGACGCTGCAGCAGCTGCTCCATGCAGCTCCGATCCGACAACAGAACCAGAACCAGAGGAGACGGAAATTCGCTCTGGTTCTGACCCGCAGGCTCTGGTTCTGGACCAACACCTGTCCTGCTCACCTGACAGCCGCCATCTGCTCCTCTGAGAACTGACGAGCCGCCGCGTCGCTCAGCGCGCACAGCAGCAGCAGCGCCGCGCAGACGGGAGCGCGCATGGTCCCGGACGGGCAGGTGGTTCTGGAGACAGAAGGTCCAACAACGACCAGATCAGGACAACTGCTGTAGTCAGGAAGCAGGAAATAGCGTCTGCATCATCAATGTGCGCTGACATTTATTGAAATGCGCCAACAAGCCGCCATATTGCGAGGGGCAACGAAGCCTTAAATAAACAGTTTATGTTCATTTAAGGTTCTGCACAGGAATTATGAGCAGTAAATGTCCGACCTGAAGCAGTTTGTCCTCACTTTGATCAGAGAACAGTTCCAACAGTTCACACAAAACTAAACATTTAGATAAAGGATCTAAAACTGGTACAAATCAAGATTTCTGACAGCCAGACTCTATCACTGTCTCATTCAGCAATTTTAATATTTATTTAATACTTACAGCAATTAACAGAAACATTTTAGTTTTTTCTCTCACCTACATTTTAGTGAGAAAAAAAATCACTTAAATCATATTTATCACATATTTATAGATGAGAGTTCCAAACTAAATATTATGTCTCATAATAGTAAATCAAGGCCAAAAAGCTGCCAGGTTACAGTCAGTTTGAGTCTATCAGATGAAACTGGTTTCCATCAGGACCTTCATCCCAGATCTCACTCTGTCCAAAACTCCCTGATTTTACTGAGCAGAACCTCTGCTACATTTATACAGATGAATAACAACAACAACATGTTTGTCTCTAAAGCTGCTTCCTGTGGCGCATCAACTCCTCCTAAAGCTCATCGTTCTTCTTCTCTCCGCGTTTCAGGAAGATGTTTCCATCTTTCTGCTTCCTCCAGCTCAGCCTGACGTCTCCACTCACCCCCTGCTGCTTCAGCTTCTGCTTCATCTGAAACAAAAACAAACCCGGTTTTCACACCGCCACCATCTGGTCGTTTCAGGTACTGCGCCACTGTCCACCCAGGAGTCCATTTATCGGTAAATAAAGACAAAAAACTGATCTGAGCTGCAAAGAAAACAATGAACTAAGCACAGGAAGTGAACCATGACACAGGATCTACCAAAATAAAACAGGAGGTCAAGATAAAAGACATGATTTGCCTTCGTCAGCAGGTTTTCCAGCAGGTCCGGGTCGTTCAGGTCCACAGAGGAACTTCTCACCACCTTCAGCTTCACTTGCTTCAAAGATGGGTCTATGAAAAAAAGGATTACATTTATTTTGACTATATGAAAGCATTTATTGTGGCTTGGAAAAGTTTATTGTGTCTGAAGAAAAAAGCCTCTGTCTGAAAACAAGATGGCTGCAGGTTATAAATCTGGATCAGAGCAAAGACTAAACGGCACAAACACTAGCATGATGCACTGCAGAAGAGGGCTGCTCTCTCACAAAACCAAAACTAAAGTACCAAACCTAAACAGAACCAAAACAGACCCAACCAAACGAAACAGAACCGTTTGTACCTGCAGAGCAAAACTGATGATTTCTTTTCTGCGCAGTGAAAGTTTTGCCATTTTCCAGAATTTTTCATTTTCGCCGCGGCGCAGTTCTGCCGGGTCTCATTGGGTTCTCCAGACATCCAGAAGCTAAAAGCCAAGCCGGTTCCATCTGACCATTTCCAGGACTCTCTGGACAGGCCGATCCAGACCCGTTGTCCGGTCGGCACCAGGACCTGCAGCTGCCGGTTCTCTGCCAGGTTCCTGACGCTGGCCAGGTCGGTGTGGCGCCCCCTGCAGTACCGCTGAGCCTCCATCCAGGTCATGTTGACGATGACCTCAACAAACGTCACGTTTGTCCCTAAAACACAAATTAAACCTTCAATTGTCACAAAAATGAGCATCAACATTTACCAAAATTATAAAATTTAACAAACATCGAAAACTGCAACATCCAATCATTTTGGAGAAAATAAAATGCTGACCTTTGACGTCCAAGCAGATGAAACTTCGAGTTCGATAACAAAATTCGTCATTCCAGCGTCCGTCTCCACGCATCTTCTCTCTGCCATAGTTATTGTTTGGTTCTCCGGACGCCCAGTTCCTGAACTTCTCCTCGGCGGTCGGTAGAAGTCAGAGTCGGACACGGACCAGCGCCAGCTGTTCACGTCGTCGTACAAACCGATCCAGGGAGTCTGGAGAGGAGAGAGCACTTCCTGAACTCAGGCCTGAAAACACGACTCACACCTCAACGCCTCACTCTTATGATTCAGTCTTACAAGGAACTGGTTCACTGTTCAGTTCACTAAAGTCACAACTGAATTCATTCATGGAAAGTTGAATGTTCTGGAGACCAGTTTGGTGGATCCATGGCCACCGCTCTACCACAGAGATCAGGAACTTACAGAATGCTCTCCCAGTTCTCCCAGTTCTCCCAGTTCCCTCCAGTCCAGCAGCTCCGTCAGCGCCTTCACGTCCGCCGCGCTCTGGATCGATGCCAGGTCTGAAAACTTTTCTCTGCAGAAACTCTGAGCTGCAGCCCAATCCTTCAGCTCAGAAACAAAATAATATTTCCATCCAGGAACAGAACTGAAGACTAAACATGAAGATTATTATTAATATTATTGTTATTAGCTTCAATTTAACAGTTTAATGGCTGCAGATGAAACTGATGAGCTGTTATCAAAAAACATCAATAACAGTTCAAAGCCAGCCTGCGGCGCCGCTAAACGTTTCTAAAACAACGTTATGATCAGAAATATGATCACAGAAATGAACTGCAGCAGCGACGATGAGGAGCAGAACGGCTTCCATCTTCCTCCTTCAGTCTGACGCACATCAACAGCCAACAGGCCCGATACGGTCCTGACCTTCATGCAAAGCTGCCATTTCATTTGAATATATGGGAAACATTAACTACAGCCGCTGCAGAGGTGGCGGTTCGATTCCCGGCTGCTTTGCTACCAAACTATTCATCAACGGCGCCAAGAACAAAACCTGAAGAAACTTCAGATTTCACTTCACAGCAGATTTAAACTTTCATCTGGTCAGAAAGTTAAAGCTCCTTCAGCTGGGGAGGCACCGCCTCGCCAGAGGAAGTGACATCACGTCTGGCTCATCCTGCGGGGCCTGGAGGAAGTGACATCACGTCTGTGGAGCGACTTCACTGTTTGCTCTTTTCAAACGCAGATCTTTTAAATTCAGAGTTTCTCCTGATTTTGCAGCCGTTACATCTGCATGATGGCAGCTTTGTGAAAATATGAAACAAATTTTGGTTTTCATGGTTTCTGCAGTTTGATAAGAACATGGAGGACAAACAGAACTTTCCTGTTTGGGTTTTATTGGCGTTCTGATCATTTTGTGCTGATGTTAACGAGCCGGCCACATTCTGATCATGGTCTTCGTTATGTTGTGTCTGGTTTTGCAGTTTGTTGGGTTTTTTGCTGATTTTCAGGGTTTTTTCAGCTCCTGTTTAGCGCAGCGGCTGTTCCCCATGTAATCTGATTACTCTGATGCTTCGTTGGGTTTTCACAGAAAAGCTTCTCAGTTTGTCGTTTCCTGATCATGTAAAATATTTAATACTTAAATCCAAACCTTCCTGGATCTTTAAACTCTAATAAAGACGCACTAACATAAAGATGAACTGTCACCGCTCCTCTGGTCTGCTGCTTTCTCTGAACTGCACATATTTTATCTTTACATCGATTGTTACTATAAAAAGAAGCACAAATAAAAATCAAGCTGTTCATTTCTCACTGAGTCATTTTCCTCTGAAATTTGCATGATCTGAAGAGACTTTAATGGGAAAAACTTTGAATATCAGTGATGCAAATTCTTTCATGTTCAGATATTCAAAACAAGTTTTTGAGAATCATAAACATTAATCAGTAAAAACATCTATTTTGTTTTAGTTTATCCAAAATGTCTCCAATCCCTTCAGCTTTCTGACGCTTTATTTTAGTTTTTCAAACCTGGAGTTGGAACAGAAACTTGTCTGAATTAGTTTGTTTTTACAATTAATGGCTGCAGAGGATTCAGCAGTAAAATAATGGCATCAATTTCCTCTGTATGACAGCCCAAATGTTGCCACGGCAACATTACTTTGCATAAGTTTGTTTACATTTCAAACTAATTTTATCTGGTTAA